AGAAAAATGTATGATTTTATTGGTAGGTAGTGGCTAAGATAATCCATTATATTAACTAATAAAAAGAGATAAAGAATTAAAGTTTAAGGTAAATTACATACTCCATGTCAACATGTATTTAGGACTTAGGAGGTGGTAAAGCGTACCGGATCTCTTATCCTAACTTACCCACAAGACATTACAGCTGCTGAGAACATCTCCCATGCATGCTAATATGTAAATATGTGTAAATGCGAAGATATTTTCAATATACAGCTGTAATGTCTTGTGGATAGGATTGTGTAAAAGAGATCCGACCTCAAGCGTAGCAATCTAAGCATTGATTTTCAACCAAGACCCCTTGAACTTCTAGAAATTAAAATTTGATTAATTATAAAATGCCACCTTATACTTAGGAAGTGGGAACACTTAGCAGGCTAGCACCATAACTTTGTTTTGTGACAAAGACTCATAGAACTTCTGGATTTCAGCACTTTGCCCTTTATGTTATTAGTAGGATTGATAATAAAAGTAAAATTATTAAATTGCCCATTTAAGATTCAATGAGCTAAGAGAAAAAATATCAAAATGACAAAAACGGGCATGCTAAAGCACAACAGGTCTTTTGGGCTGGGCTAGCTACTGTTTCCAAACCCATGCTAGAAAAGAAATAGAGGCCATGCTTCCAAGATAAAATTCCAATAAGATGAGAAAAGTGGCAGAATAGGTAAGGGATAGGACTTTTAGAAAACAAACTAAGTTAAAAAAGGCAAAATAGTACCATAAAATAACACAGGCAATTTAGAGTTTTAGAAATGTATAAAAACAGGCATGGACAGTCACGTAGGAATGTTAAGGGTGCAACTTGGGGCAGGTTAGTTTAAGCCCAATCCTAACCCAACCCGAAGTAAAGTCAGGTTGGACTGAGTCGTGTTGATGCTCGGGTTAGGTTAGGGTTGACCCCTTGGGCAACCCAACCCAACCCAATTGAAAATACTAAAACCTTGATAACATGAATTATTCTGTCTCCTGTCTGTTGTTTGTCACCCATAGCTTGCTATCCATAAAAGATCTATTATAAATCATCATAATAAGCTATAGTCATTTCAAACATTTTTTTTCTAAATTTTTTACTTAACGAACCAATAAAAACATCAACAAGCAAATACTAATAAAACTATGATTAATATATGTAACGAAAGTTGAGTTAAGATTTAAGATTAAGAAGTTCTACGAGATTTTAAGGGATGGGAAGAAGGTTGGGTTGGGCCCAACTTTGGGTTGGGTTAGGGTTGAAGGAATTTAGTTAGGGTTGGGCTAGGGTTAGCCTCAATCTGACCTAACCCAGCCCGACTTGCAGCCCTAGGGAATCTTCTATAAAATTTTACTAGTAGGGGCAAAGTGCTAGAATCAAGGTGTAGGGGGTCTCTGTCAAAAAAAGAAGTTTAGGGGGCAACCCCCCAAGTTCAGGGCGCCTGCCTGTAAACCCTGAAAGTTAAAATGGAGGACTTATTGAACCTGTTTGGAAAGGCGAAAACTTGGGTTGATCTGCTTTCATTCAAGGCCCGTTTGGGGTAGCTGAATCTTTAGTTGAATTGCTTTAACGAGCTGTTTTGGAGAGGCCACTAGAAGAAGATTTAATGGAAAGCTATATTTTAGGCTTTAACTTTAAGATGGTTATTTTAGGCTTTCCATGATTTTCACGAGTTCAAATCAGCCCCCCACGAGACTGCCCCCCACAACGTCCCACACCACATCCCCGCCATATATTGGGAACATCTCCTGATGATGATACCAAGAATGATGATGCCATCATCGGAAGATGTTCCCAATACATGAAAGGGATGTGGTGTGAGATGTTGTGGGGGGCTGATTCGGTCTCGATTTTCACTAAACATGGCTTATAGATTGTCTAGATGGGGCTCACTAACCTTGCAAAGCTAATGCCGCTGCATAAAATCCCTCCCAAGTCCCAAATGGGCACTCAGTTGCTTTGGAGAAACTATGAAAAGGAACTTCATGAAAAAGGCTTTTTCTTTTTTCTGTTCTTTTTTTTTTTTGNGGGGCGGGGGGTTGGGTGTTAAAAGATATCAATTTTGGAATTTACGGCATTTTCACCAAACATTGATTAAAGGCTGTCTCCAACGGGTATTTAATGGTAATAAAAAATGGAGTTTCACTTCCAAATGTCAGGGGGGATTGCAAAATCTGGGGACCATGCATAATGATGCACCATTGGGTACCCAGCCTCCCTGAATACAATCAGGTGAGGTCGGGTATAGAGACTGCTCTGGTGGGGATGGGAACGGGGAGAGCCGTTTCTAATGAGGAGTATTGTCCCGATCCATTGCCATTTCTAATGAGGAGAGCCGGAGAGCTAAAGAAAAATGGAAATAAGACGGTAATAAAAGTGAAACACCAGACACCTCAACCACGAAAAAGCTCACCAAAGTGTCATTTGCTATTGCCATAGAAGACCACAAGCTGACAAGCTGATTAAAAAGAAAAGACCACAAGCTCAAGAAGATTGCTTATCTCAGAGCTCTGGCTCAAATGACATTATGCTAATGGTAGATATGGAGTTCATATCTCCGCCCCACATCACATCCTCGCCATGTATTAGGAACTCTTGGATATGATGTGGGGTGAAGATGTAAACTCTTGGATATGACCGTGCTTGATGGATATTAGTATCGAAAATACATCATCAGAAGATGTTTCTAATACACAGCAGGGATGTACTGTAGGGCGTTGTGGGGCGGAGATGTGAACTGTTGGATATGACCTTGCTTGATGGATACTAGCATCGGAAAAGATTTGATTTTATATATTACTTGGAGTATACAAAACAAACAACAATCATTTTAGAAATCATACTTGATATGGCAAATCTTATCCACATCAACCCACGTCTGACACGTGGTTACATTGGAGGGTAATCTCATTAGAGGATATTTCCAATATTTCACCCCAGCCTTAATGACAGGGCCTGTGCTAAGGCACAAACACTCGAGCTCAAACCCACATGCTTGGTCATGTGGTCTGACTGGTCTCAATCTTAATGAAGTCTGCCATCAACGTGACCCAACGTGCAAAGTTGTTACAAGTTGACCATAAGAGACCACTAATATCTCTTATGCACTTTTGCTCTTTTTTCTCTCACCTAGTTCACCTCAGCACTTGGCTTTCTCATCACCTCGCTAACCTAATCCTCAGAGAGTCAGAGTCACCATTGCCGGGCCTCTGACATCCTTCTCTACTTGCAGGTGGGACCATTGGCCAGGACACCTCGGAAATTCCTCAAGTCACCCTTGCTACCATCAATGGTAACATCAGTACTGTATCTCACATTTCTACAATTGCTCGTTTTAACGGTCTGTTGCAAGAGTTAGCAGAGATTGAAGCCTTAGCCATCAATCACCAACGATCACCTGATCCTCAAAGAAAAGATATATTTTTGTGCGCCCCAACATAGGTTTTGCAAGAGATAGAATTTAGAACAGAAGGTAAAGTTATCAAAAATTTGAAAACAGGATATGAGGTGCTTCTAGTTGATTCACATGTCTCTTCTTTTGACTGCCATTTCTAAATCTGATGTTCCCAGGTGGGTTTGAAGCCTTGGGGGTTTTGTTTAGCTTGAGACTTGCAAAATCCTAAAACCTGGATTTCATTTGTGTTTGATTGTGACCACCTTTTTTGTTTCCTTTTCTTTCTTTTTAATTTGTTTTGAGAATCGCCATGGTACACCTCAGAGCAATGTTTAGTTCTTATTTGAATACATACACACTGAGCTCTCTGGTTTTGCCAGCATGCTACGACATCAGTGAATGTTAACACCACCTTGGTAGTCCTGCTTACTGTAATGGGAATGGCATTTCCATTTAGAAATTGTACATGGTAACTGCCTGAAAGGACTCCACTGTTCCGTTTTTATTTGAGAAATGATTTTACATTGTTTACCAAAACACAAATTCCAGGTGGGTCAGGACATTTTTACCAAACAAACGCTCAAGTCTCACCAAGAAATTACAACATTTTTTATCTCTGTAAATCCTTTCAAGCAGCAACTTTGCAGTATGTAAATAGAACTCACAATGTACGGACTCATCTTCTAACACACAGGGCCTGTATCCAAGGAATATAATGTAAAATACCATACTGAATATATCCAGCATAGGAACTATTGATGTATTTATCTTTCAGTTAATAAATCTTATTTACCTACCCCATAAAATAAGGTCTCACCAAGAAACTCGTCAGAACCTCTTGGTCGGTCGGGCTGCCACACCACTTTATTGGGACCTCCAATAAAACAAGGACACGCAGTGTTGGCCTTAAATTCCAAATATTCAAAATAGTGGACTACTTATGTGATAGGTAGCGTGGTCGTGTCCTATTGAGAGTTGAAACACAAATTCAGACCCCCCCCTCCTATTGTTGCTTCATTGATTTCTCGGTAAACATCCATATCTTATGTCTTGAATCCCGTTTAAGTCCGCCCGCCAGAGTTGACTCGAGGAGCTCCTAACCCCTTTGTTCGGTCTGAGCGCTTAAAACAGTCCAAATGAGTATTCCACTGCAGCTTCAAGTCAATCCCCATGGATGGATGATTAGATTTTTTTATCAGTCGCATTTTTTTTGTCCAAATGCGTGGAGATAAACCATAGTCTCTTCTCTTGTCGGTCCATAGGAGCATAGCAAAAGAGAAATGCACTCTAAGGTTTTCATTTCCATTGACCTCCACATTTCACAAACCAATCCACTCCTGTCTGATATTTCACAAGTGTGAATTAATGCGGCCCTACTTGAATGTCGAACGAGAGGGTAGAGAAACCACATGATTGTCGAAATATGCAGAGATTCTCTGGTGAGTCCAAAGGAGTGAAATGAACTACGAGACGTGGGATATGGTGCATACCCAATAGGTGTGGTAGTAAGCAACGGTTTTACTTTGTCTTGCAGCTGTGAGGAGTAACTCCAGATCCAAACCATTCACAGGAGAAGATAATTGCAACAAGGGATGAAAAATACTGAATTTATTTGGCAATGGAAAAGAAGGAAGAATTTTCCAATAACACTAGTATCAACAAAAAAGCAACATATATAGAAAATGAAGCTGCTAACTTTACCGGTGGGGAGAGCTTACTCCTTGCGGTATCTTGCCCAGAACCCCTTCTTTCTTGCAGAATCGCTTTCTGATAAGGATCTACTTGTTTTTGACCCAAGTGTAAAGTGTCGCCTGAGGAAAGGCCTGCCGAAGGAGCTCTTCATGCTGGAACTGGTTCCCATTTTGGGACCTTTTCCCTCCCGCCTGCCACTTTTCCTTTGGTCAGACACAATGGAATCATCATCTAAATCACTATCCACCACTTGGTTCCTAGATATCTTGTAGCTTTTTGATTTCAAATCCGCTTCCCTCCTCAATGCTTTTCTAGCCATCTTCAAGATCTGCTTCTCCCCAACAGTACAACATTCAGGGCAAGAAGGGTCATACTTATCAGTTTCAGGTGTAATGCTCTCCAAACACTCTGCGTGGTACACATGTCCACAGACAAGAACAGCAACCACAGAGATCTCATTTGTGGCTATGATTTTCTGGGTGCTCAATGAAGATCTCTCCGCCAAAAGCTTCGAGCATACCCCACATGTTTGCAGATCAATGGAAGGAGAAGCAGATAGCTGGCTGTTGGATCTAGTTATCCTACCACGGCCAGACATCAAGGTCTCACTGTCGAAAGACCATCTTTCTCTTTGGGAAGAGGCCACGAGTTCTGAAAAGGTGCGCATAGACCAACCATCTGAAGACCCACCATAGGAACCCATAGTTAGGTCATTGCTGCACATTGAGAACACAAATGATTGTCTTCCTTCAGAAACTGAGTTGTTTGGTGACTTCAATCCTAGGATTCGGCTATCAGAAACCTGCCTAAAAAGCTGATGCCCTGGTGATCGGCGGGCTCGCCTTAACCGCATTGACTCAGCATGGCTCTGAGACACCAGATCCCCTTTAGTTGAAGAGGAAGTTGAAGGTACAGAAAATGAAAGCTTAGGCGGTGAAGGATCATCAGCTGCTGACAATTCTCTAGAATGTTTTACCTATTAACAAGCACGAAAATGCAAGATGTCAGAAAACTCGAAAAACAGATGAGATGAATGACATACCAGAAATACCCTTCCATTATTCCCAACTTTTTCTCACTAACCTCAGTAGACAAATTGCTTCCCACGGATAAATCTGTTCCAAACATAAATGAAGGCATCAGATGCAACAGAAAAACATGGCATTTTACAAAACATTGCAAGTTGCAATGCAAAATATTACCAACAGAGTACAAAGTAGATTATGCAGGAAGGACGTTGACTAACATAACTAGAGTAGATCACATTCATAGTATAACCACTATTTTGAGTTTCAGAAGAAAATGCAAGCCAAAACATTGACCATTCTCAGAAAAGTTAGAGCAAAATGTTCCTGACAAAGAACAAAGTAGATTATGCAAGAAAGGAGGGATGTTACGTAACATGACTAGTGCTCATTTATGGTATAATCAATATTTTGAGTTTCAGATGATGATGCAAACCAACTAATGTAAACCCACCAATAGAACTGATAATGCAGCAAAGGCAGTCTATCTATATTTGTGAATGAACACCTGTGTGCACATGTGTACAAAAAAATGTGGCCATTAGACCTTTTCTTCAGTTGAAAATGATATTATTTCCTCTTTTGATAGGCACCTAAATGTTGCCTTCCAAACATTGAAATATGCATGCATAAGAGTTGTTTGCATGCATCTATTGTTTTTTCACTAAAATCTGCCAATGGTTTTGGAATGCTAAGATTTTTATAGCAACCACCACAGGAATATTTTTAAGGTTTCATCAGTTAGCTCCTTTGCTTGAAGGAGCTAACTATATTGGTGAATGAATACCTGTGTGCACACATGTGTACAAAGATATGTGGCCATTAAACCTTTTCTTCAGTTGAAAATGAGGTTATTTCCTCTACCAATAGGCACCTAAATGTTGCCTGCCAAATCATGAGAGGATACCAAAACGAGAAATATGCATGCATAAAAGTTGTTTGCATGCATCTATTGCTTTTTCACTAAAATCTGCGTATGGTTTAGGAATGCTAATATTTTTATAGCAACCTCCACAGGAATATTTTTCAGCTTTCATCAGTTAGCTCCTTTGCTTGAAGGATACTAAATAACTTAGGGGAGTAATCTATGAACATCCAACTTTTTATGAAGGGGATACATCCCTAATCATTACTCAGGGTACATATCTTAAAAGACAAAAATGACCCCATGTTTTGACTTAAGTAGCCTTTTCATCAGGGATGTGCTCTAATCTCTCCCAAATAACTTATCCAGAGTGAATATGCATGTGATCTCAAGGAAAGTGCCATATTCTCTTCCACTGCAATCACATAATGATGTAAGGAGAAGAGGCACATTTACCAGATATTTCTGTTATTTTGATCAGGATGCCTGAGGCTTCAAGGTGAAGCCATCAGCAAGTTGGGGTAAACCTTTCCAAAGATGCACTCATAGAAAATAGGATACCTAGTGACTCCCACATTAAAATCTATCTTTAAAACATGATAAATGCTTAGTCAAAAAATGTTAGAGAATTGAAGATAAGGAGTTTATTGAATTGGGGGAAAACCCAAATAAGATTAAAAGGAGTTAAGATTTCTTTTCTGCTTTACTGGTTGTCTTCCTAGTGCCATTGGTTGGTGTAGTGGTAAAATTTTGGGCTGCCAAGCATGAGAATGCAGGTTCAAGTCTGAGAACTGCCACTTTGTGCAAAAAAAAGCCAAAGGTAAGGCCTATATCCAGTGCAGCCCTCCCAGGACCCTAGATAGCAGGGACCAGGGTAGTGGCATTTTTTCGGTCGTCTTGTTTTATTTGAGAAGTCCTAATTAATGAACAAAATTTATAAAATTTGACAAAAGGAGATGCTGTCAAATTATGGAAAGAAGTTTTTAATTATTCTTGTGTATACGAAGTGCTAACCTTTTCTTATCCCTATTGACAAAATGAGATAGTCTTGTTTTTTTTTTTATTCTTAAGTATACTTGAGAATTAACACACTAGATAAGTACCTAGTGAGAAGTCCAATGGGAGATAAACACTTGAATTAATTGATCATGGAGCTATTTACCATCACAAGACATACAAAGAAAAATCATATACCAAATTGTCAAAATAAGCAGAAAAAGTGGAAAGAAAAAGACTAGCCTAATGGAGGGGAACTGATATTAATATCTACCCAAAAGACAGCTGCTTAACATTTCAATTATAGTAACAAATTAACAAAATAATCTGAAATACATGGAACAGACTAACATCTTGTGGACATCTACAATAATAGAGATGACAAAGCTAACCAGTAAGAAACTACAACATATTAAAAAGTTCCACCATTAAACCAAACAGGACAGGAGAAATATACAAAGAATTACACATTTCATCCTCATAAAAGAAGAGAGAATATGGCTTAGTGGAAAGAGAGAATGAAAGGCTAAAAGATAAATCTTTGCAAACACACATTTTGCCAGATATATTATTTTAGATTTTAGAGTAACATTATTACTCAACCCCTTTTAAACACATCCTCACCAATGTTTAATGATCAGCATTAATTTATATACTCTTGATAATATAAGACCATCCAATGAGAGAAATATGAGAAATTAATTGAGTGCAGCACACCTTAGCATTGTATAACTCACATGGCAACTACTTGCAAAATGAATATAATACTGTAACATTTATTTGTACTTTTGGAAACTAAGTTCTTGTGCCCAAGAGCTCACTTTGAAAAATAAGGAGAATCCAACTAAAGGCTTGAACAATGAGAATAAAAGGTTGTCCTCTAATACTTTAGCATCTAAATAAAATGTACAAAGCATGGATAAATGAAATTACTTTCAAGAAACAGCTAAGCCCATCTTTTTACAATAAATCATTGATCTTACGTCCAAAATATAAAGAAAAAGAAAAGGATAATCAGTTGATCCTACAAAAAATCATTGATCTTATGTCCAAAAATAAAAGGGAAAAAAAGGATAATCAATTGAACCTACAGCATAAACAATGAATGGATGTAATTAAGTTTTAGGAGAAGATATTTTAAGTTAGAAGTAAGCAAAGGAGAAATCAATATAGTGTAAGGAAACAAAATGTTCACCTGAAGTAGGAGTCCTCAAACTTCCAAAAGTTCCTTCATGGACTGGGGACTTTTGCCACATGGGTGTTTGAAAGTTCTCAGCTGGACTTCCACCACCAGAAACGTATTCTGTTTCCACATGTCTTTGCTCCTTAAACTCCAAGCCCAAATTCCCATGAACTCCATGGGAAAACTGATTTACAGGATTTTCCACTTCACCTGCTACACGCCCTCGACTATCCCATCGAAAGCTCCATGATGGTGAATACCTAATATTATTATGCAAAGCTTCACTACCAGTTCTGTTTGATAGGGTTCTATCCCTTGCAGCAACACAGCAGGCCGATCCCATTCTCAGTCATATATGAAAATCTACACAGATGTTTTGAAATCCACAAGAAGACAAGATTGCATGATTCTCTTAAAAAACCTCGCTTAAGAAGTTTAGGAAGGGATTAAAACCCCACTTGTTCTTTTTTGTGATAAGAATGCCAATTTTCCCTGTAAAAAGCGAAAGTAAACTATATTACCAGAGCAGTCAATCATTTAAGTGTAAAATACCGAAAAACAGTTCTATGCATGAATTACTTAATTGTTCACAGAAAAAAAAAAGAAATATAAAGGATGAAAATGGAACCCTAGTAATCGAAATCGAGGAAGAGACCTATTGAACTTATATTAAGTAAAAACAACAAAGATTTAACCAAATAAACAATCAAACATCTCATGTGAAATTGGAAAAGCAATAAAATGCAGCAAAAGGACCAAAATCATGAGATGATAAAAAATAACAAATTTCGACTCGCTTCAAATACGAGGAAATTCGTCTACTTGGCAAAATATCTCTTAGAGTTTTGGGATCTAAACTTCAAAATCCTAAATAGAATAATCAGGGCAACTATGCCTCACCCAATAAGTGAGTCTGGGGATTCTAATGCGGTTCTGATTTATAAAAGAACACCTCCAAAGCATATAAAAAAAATATTCCAAAATTAGAGATAAAAGTAACGAAACCAATTGCTAATATTAGTAAAGAAACCAAAACACAACGAAATCAGTTCTTAAAAAGAAGCTTCTCGATGGATGAGAAACTATTATTAGCTTCCGAAAACAAAAAGGGAAACCTGTTTGTAGGTCGAATTTCATCCGCGCATGTTTGTCAGCTGCATAATTTCGTCGTAGCGAACCCAATTAGAAACGAAAAAGCCAAAATATTGACAATTAAAATAACGAGCCTAGGTCAAAAACACTAACAATAGTCAAATAAGCCATTACAGTTCACAAAGCCAGGTCGATGAATTGCACTGAAGATTCTGTGATACCAAAACTCATTAAGAGAAAGTTGAATAAAGAATAAGATTACCAATATCAGCAACTGAATCATTAAATCTCTTCCATCGTCAACGTACGTAGAACAGTCCAACAAAAGAATAAACAAATGGAACACCGATCAACTGTTTACAAAATCAGAGCAAGAACAAAATCGAAGAGCTTTATCTAAACTCTAATTTCGTCAGTTACTTCTCAAAGATCTTAAAGTGAGTTTCAATCAAAACCCCCAAAAATGAAGAATTTTACTAGTCTTGGGTCAACACCAAACAAAATTCGTGGCAAAAAACACCGCAAATAATAGTCAAATCAGACAAAAAAACGAAGACTTTCAAATTCGATAGTCGAATTTCTGCCTGGTTTGCATTTTGCAACACTCCGAAAGAAAATTGCGTAAAGTACATAACCAGACTCCTATACTACAAAGAAAACCCGATAATTGAAGTGAGCATGTCGTACATCTTAGTGTTTCCAAATTCCGAACGAGCAAGCTACAGGCTGAGAGATAGACTGATAGATGCCGTTCTTCTTCTTCTTCTTCGTCGTCGTCGTGGTGCGGAGGGGAGGAGGGAAAGAGGAGAGAGAGAGAGGGAGTGAAGGAGTTTTAAACGGAGCAACAACTCCGTCAGAGACTGTTCATTTCCACTCAGTCCGGGTACTGTTAGTTTTGACGGAGTTGAGGAGCCGTGCGTGGCACGCTTGGAGAATTTTCCACGTCGGATATTCTGCTCCCTAGTCCTTTCTACCATGCGTTTTTTTTACTTTTTTTTTTTGGATGGATGGAATAGGAGTAGGAAACAGTAAAAACTAAAAAGGGAAATCAAAAGTGCTGCCTTCTGCAACACGCGGAGTGCGTATTACGCATTCGCTCCTTTTGGCGCTGTTCTTTCCCGGGATCCCCTTCTTGCGAGCTGAGACTGAAGAGAAGCAGTGAAAAGTGAAAAAAAAAAACTGCAAAGAGACCGGCGGTGCCCACCAACTCGCCAAGACTCTCTCTCTCTCCCTCCATCTTCCACGTCACCAGTTCGCCACTTGAGTCAGTTGAGTGGGCCCTAACAAGAGAAATACGCCACGAAATTCGTGTAAGGAGAGCACGTTCTTCGGCAAATAAATATCAAGGTCCAGTTACGTTGTGTACGCGACACGTGGTATGCAAAATTAACAGTTGTGGGGGCCACCCTTGATGTCCTGTTCAGCCGATGAAATTCTAATCTCGTAGACTGTGCTATATTTAGGTCTTTACCAAACCTAACCTGATGTCTATGTTCACATTAATCCGATCTACATCCAAGACAAATGTACGGCTTCCCAAAGTCATACGGAGATTCATGTGACGCGATAAGCAGGATGAGGCCCGTCATTCCCGCTCCAAGCCTCCAACTGTGGACATCCGTTGTATGCACTGATCATCCACCGTCTCCATGATATTCGACACAAATTCGCTGTTCGTTTCGAGACCGGATCTGCTCCTCACACCTGGCGCCTCACAGGCGATTTACACGCACATCCTATATACATTGAAAATATCTCCCGTATTTATTAATTATTACTCATGGGAGATATTTTCAATGCACGATGGATGTGCTGTGAGACGCCCATTTGTGAGAAGCAGACTCCGCTTCGTTCGTTCCTGGGTAAAGTTCCGACTCGGAAGATGTCCAAGGTGCGGGAGATTACAGGGTGCGTTGTGTACGAGGACGTAGAAGAGCCATTTGCAACCCACCAGAGGGACAGACAATAGTCACGATTCAAGTCTTTTTCATTTCGTCTGATGCTTAGCCTGTTTACCAAAATATTAATATAAAAAGACAGAAAGAAGAGATCTAAGGATTTCGCCATTGTAAAACTAGTGAGGTAATATAATAACGTCAGTAGGTCGCGAGAAGGGCAAGAAGAGAGAAAGAAACAAGGACGGTGGTAGTGCTGTTAGGCTGATATTGTTAGCATCCAAAGTAAATGATTGTAAGCAAATTATGGTTGAAATGAGTAGATGACTTGCAAACCACAAGACATTGATTGTATGTTTTTAAAAGAATGGTTGTAGCATCATTCATCCCAAGGAAAATGGTTGTTGAGATAATTTGCAGACTTGAAGACACCAGAGTGGACCTTGTATTATTAAGCAATCTTTATGAGCTCACAGTATTTGACCAATATAAAATCCACTTTTCTGGATCTCTCTATCTGGTCTCTAGCTAACACAACCTTTTTGTTTTGTTCCGTGTAAGCCTAAGTTAGAGCATATATTATTTGAGGGTCATTTTTCCGTGTATTAAAACCTTAATTCAAATTTCAAAGTAGGTGAGTCTGCAGTTCTTCCATTTTGTGTTTTTTTTTTTTCTCATTTAACTAGGTATCTTCAAAATGACTTCTCATGATTTGACTTAAAACTTACATGGTTCATGCCAAAATGCCTAAGAAAGATTGCTTTTGATATTTCAAGTAGTAAACCACGAGTTTCTATACAACTCGATCTGAGGAATTTAACCATAGATATGGTATGACCCGTTGTGAGACGCGCTAAAAAGTTGGATATTTCTTTTCATGGATCTCACCTTACCCGTAAGGTTCAAAATATCGATATAGGGAGATATGTCGATTGGGTGTATTGGCCTGTATTGATATGGCGTATTATCACGTTTCGGTATTATTTTTTATTTTATTTTTCGAAACTGGTTCAGAGTGAACCACTTGTCGACCCGAAACATCTTTTGTAGGGACATATGAAGAAGACTCTAATATAATACGTATCAGCCAATATGATCTGTTTGAAGAAAATGTATGAAGTTTCTACACCAAATCAAATGTGTATGGAATTTACGATAGCTGTATTTTATACTATATTGATATTGGGGTCATTGCTAGTTTACACGCCCTCACTCCTCACCAGTTTTCCACATTATCAGGGTAGAGGTCAGATTTCTGTTTTTCTAGGATAAAATTTGATGTATAAGCACCACAAAAAAGTTTATTTTTGTTATGAAAATCATGGCCTAAAATGTATTTGCAATGGCCCACCAAAAAGTCATTTCATCTAATTTAAGGTGGGATTATGACAATACATCAAAGGTTTTGATTTAGTTGTTTTGGAGCAGCCCAACAACACTGTCATAGCAAATGTTAGTGAAATTTACATCACAAATCGTCAAAACCAATGCCGACCCCCTTGGTGCTCTGTGTAATTTATGGGATTGAATACGCATGAAAATCGAATTAAAACAGCAAACGATTTACGAATCGTTGAGTTATATAGGCTCACTTTGGAAAGAGTATAAATACAGATATGTACAGTATAAATATATACAAAATGATATAAAATACAAGATTTTGAACTCTATTTTTACTCCTTCCAAAGAGAACCATATGTGAGTGAAATAACTAAGTTAATTCGGTTCAAATGTTTCAGACAAACAGAAATCATCTGGCCTTCACTCTTCTCATTTTTGACATCCTGTATTTGACATACAAATTCCAAAGTTGTAATCATTCAGGAATAAGTCGAGTTTTCTGGAAAGAAGAAAGTGCTATATGATGGAACCAGGAGTGAGTAGATGCGTGACGGTTTTATCCTTCACAATTTGTTTGTTAATTTTCCAAGTTTGCTGCCCGCACCATAACATCATCTATGTGAATACAGATTACAAATCAAGGTTAGAAAAGTAAATTTAATTTTTACAAATCAAATCAATGCAATCGTTATCAATTCAAGAAACTAGTTTTAATTTATTTCTCCTAACATGTCCAATGGTTTCTCTTTCGTGTATGTCATAATAAGTATTATCATTTTTGGACAGTCCTCAAATACGACATCTTGGCCGATGACGGATCAGTTGAAATGGTCATTTGGCAGGAACCCCTAATGATAGAAGGCGATCATCATTCTTTAATTTTCTGATACAGTTGCATTAGACCCTCTCAGTTACAATATTTATTTTCCAAATTTTTTCTTCATACTTATTTTCCAACTTTTTTCTTCGTGATTGTATCAATCACTATCCCAAGCGTCTCCAACCTTTTTTTCAAAATTGATTTGTTTTTCAAAATTCAAATTTGCCTTTCGTATCAATTGCTCAAAGATAAAATTACAACTCTAAATTCTTTATTTTTTTTTACGTTTATAAAGTTTATATTATTTTTTCTGTAAAAATCAACGTCATTAATAACTTTACAGATATTTTGGACATTTTCATTTCTCTTATTAGAGGATTTTAACAGGGGGTCTAATTGCAACTATGTCAGAAAGTTTAGGAGAGGTGATTGTGATTGCAATTACCAAACTTTAAGGAAAGTCTCAGCAACGGTCAAAAACTTTATGGGAGGTTTCAGAAAATTTACCCTAAAAATTGTATCACATCTTCATATGCATATCTTTCTATTTTTCCTATTCTTCAAAATAGTTAGCATATACCAATCTTTCATTAAAATAACACTCTGGCTATCGTTTCTTTTTTACTTTAAGGAGCAGTTTGGAAGGAGTACAAATGCAAATGTGTAGAGTGCAAAACTTTCTATTTTGTATTTAGGGGTGTCAATAGCATTCCAAAATCCAATTTTGAATTCGAGATTCGACATAATCGAATCAAATTTGAATATGACCTTATTAGATTCAATAAATATTCAAATTTCACCGGTTATCTGATTCTTATATATAATACATGAAACATTTACTTCTATATATAATAATTAAATTATATAAATAACTTATATATTTATATACTTAGATAAATAAAATAATTATTTCATAAATTTATTAATTACCTAAAATAATTAATTAGTCAAATTCAAATCAAATTGAATATTTGAATATTTAATCGAATTCAAACATTGGTTTTCAATATCCAATATCGAATCGAATTTGGATATTGAATTTTCTAATCAGATTTAAATTCAAATACTACCTAATTCAATTCGAATTCAATCCGTTTATACCCCTATTTGTGTTATTTTGTATATATTTGTACTTTACATATTTATATTTGTACTCTTTTTGAGCAGAGTCTTAGGCTCAATTTGAAAGGAGTACAAATACAAATATTTAAAGTGCAAAGCCTTGTATTTTGTATTATTTTGTATATATTTACATTGTACATATTTGTATTTTATATTATTTTGTATATATTTGTACTGTACATATTTGTATTTGTATTCTTTCCAAACGGAGCCTTTGAATAAGTTTGAAAGTAGTACAAATATAAATATGTAGATTGCAAAACCCTGTATTTTGTATCGTTTTACATGCATTTGAACTGTACATATTTATATTTGTATTATTTCCAAACTGAGCCTTGATGTTTAATGACGTTGGGTGAAAATGGTTATATTTAAATATAGATAAGCATCTAATAGTACAAATCAAGGATTTATAGATTTAAACAAAACACACATCACTTTGTAAGGAAAACAAAATGCAACAAAAAAGTTTGTATTTGTACCTTAAAAAGGAATAACTG